GGGGGGGGGGGGGGGGGGGGGGGGGGGGGGGGGGGGGGGGGGGGGGAGAGAGTCCGGGGTCAGGGATAGGTCGACATAAGATTTCACCCCCCTGCACCGGTTTTCAGTTCTCGAGTACAACGGCCACCACGAAGAGGGCATATTTCTGTCGAACGATATGTTTTCGGAAAGATCTCGACGAGAAGGTTCCATCGCCGCCGGCGTTTTTTGCGGCACCGCCACTCTCGACTGCTGTTGGGAGTGCACCGGGCCTTGAAGAGAAAATCGTTCTTGGGCTGTGTGAAGTTAGTCGCCTACGGCAGGCTGCGTGTCCTTTCGCTCTCGCGGGGCAGAGGACGACCCTCTGGCGTTTTGGGGGTCTTGTGTTCCCTTGTCGCCGTCGGAAGAAAGGACACAACGGGGGGGGAAGCTCGGCCGTGGTAGATGCATGTAGTAACAGCTGTTGCGGCCCCTTTTCCGTCCGTCTGTCCCTGCTGCTGCTGATTGCTTGCCCTCGTTTGATGGGTGGAACATCCACCCGTTTTGGCGCCGCCGAAGCACTTACTCCCAACGCGGACACTGCTGGCGGGCATGTCGGTTGCGTTTTGACTAACCGGTGGTCTTCTCCCGCGTCGTGTGGATCCCCCGCTGAAAAAGGCAGTCGGTTGCTCGTTTTAACTTAAATATTTAACCGCTTCTCTGGGGCGTGCATCATGCGCCTGCACCCGACGCCATGGGCCGGTCGGTGGGTCGGTCGGTCGGTCGATCGGTCGGTCTCTCGCTGATCGCAGGCGTCGATCGCCGCCGACCCGTCGCTGGCTACCTCCCGGCACGTCAACAAGTCGGCCTTTCCGATGGACGGCTGGACTCCCCTTCACGCCGCTGCCGCGAAGGGAAACGTGGAGTTCGTGAAGGTGTGTGCTTTGAGGCGCTTCACGTGTTGACTAGGAGGGAAGAACCTGTTTCGCCAATGCGCTAATTATCACGTAACCCTCTGAACCTTTTGAGGTATTGGATTCGATTCTCTTTTTTTTTTTTATCTTCACTTCACATCAGCGCTCGCGGCATTGGCGCCGTTTCTCCATCCCGTAAGTCACACAGGAGGATTCCTCTCCCTGACCCCTCATACCCATCCCTCCTGAGGTGCTTTGCCGGTGAACAAACCAACCCCCCCCCGGCGTGCTTGGCGTGCGTGGCGGCACCCGCCTGCCCCCGCGTTTGTCTTACTCGCGTGTTTTTGTCCGCGTAGGTGCTGCTTGAGGTCCCTGGGGTTAGTGCTTGGGCCGTGGACCTCCAAGGGAGGACCGCGCTAGCTCTTGCCGCCGCCGAAGGTCACCTCGATCTGTGCCTGCTACTTAAGGTGACGAAATAGTGACCGCCCAGGTGGAATGTTTACCGAATTGACGTTGTCTCAGCTTGTTTTCTTGTGTCGCGAGCACGGTTTCTCGGCAACGCCTAATTTTCGTTTGATATCGACAATTCTTTGGGGAACATATGCGTAGTACCGCACCTCCCCTCCCGTCGAGTGTACGGTATATGTCACGGTACGGGATGACCGGGAGTNTGCCCCAGTACAGCTACCGTCCTTTCCTCTCTATTCCATGCCTCAAACATATCCCTGTACGTCCCATCTATTTTTCCCAGCTCAGTCACGTACACTTGTACAACGGACATTCCGCGACTACATGAACACGGTCTTGGCATTCGAAGCCGCAATCACATTTGAACTTGTCGTCTTCGTCGTCTACCGTCCTATGTCTTCGTCGACGTTCTCGAAGGCCTATGTCCGTTCTGAATTTGACCTTGAGCTTTGTTCCTGCATCCATTGGTCCATGTAGGTAATAATTGAACCCTATTCCTTCCTTCAACATCCCGTACACTTCTAGACCCTCCATATCCTTGGATTCTTCCACAGGTCCGTTCTGTAGGGTACTGATACTTCTGTAGGGTACTGGGAGAGTTACAGAGCTGTTTGTGAAATCTCTGTAGGGTACTGGGAGAGTACCGAACTTTCTGTAAAATCTCGGTAGATACTGGGGAAAGTACCGAACTATCTGTGAAATCTCTGTAGGGTACTGGGAGAGTACCGAACTTTCTGTAAAATCTCGGTAGATACTGGGGAAAGTACCGAACTATCTGTGAAATCTCTGTAGGGTACTGGGAGAGTACCGAACTTTCTGTAAAATCTCGGTAGATACTGGGGAAAGTACCGAACTATCTGTGAAATCTCTGTAAGGTACTTAGGTCTCACAGAACTCCTCTGTATGGTACACAAACAACGTACCTACAGGCGAACCCGGTACTTACCCCGATGGTAGCAGCGTAATCAAAACCGCGAAGAACGACAACAACAGAATCAACAATCAACCGCCGTAGCTACGCAGCACTAAGCCTCCGTTGTTGTCATTTGGAGCGAAAACGCAGTGCACCAAAGCAAAACACAAAACACGTACGGCTGTTTCTGTTTCACCCTCGCCTCCTCCACCCCCAACTGCTGTACTTTGCGCCGGGGAGACGCTGCTGCTGAGGTCTGCACTCTCGCTCATGTTCCTCTCAAGCTATGTGACCGAAAGGAGTTCTGTGGAGGTACCTAGTTCTAGTTCTGTGATCGCCTTCAAGCTTTTTGTGGCTGTGGGGCAGGTGGGGTCTTCGGCGCAATCCTGACGTCATACCTCCGAGGGTACTACTGTACAGAACTTTTCGGTAGGGTACTGGGAGAGTTACAGAACTGTTTGTCGGTAGGGTACTGGGAGAGTACCGAACGTTCTGTAGAATCTCTGTATGTACTGGGGTCTCACAGAACTCCTCTGTAAAATCTCTGTATGTACTGGGGTCTCACAGAACTTTTCGGTAGGGTACTGGGAGAATACAGAACGTTCTGTGAAATCTGTGTAGGGTACTGGGCGAGTACCGAATGTTCTGTGAAATATCTGTAGGGTACTGGGAGAGTACCGAACAGTCTGTAAAATCTCGGTAGATACTGGGGAGAGTACCGAACTATCTGTGAAATCTCTGTAGGGTACTGGGGTCTGACAGATCTTCTTTGTAGTGATCTGTCGGTACTTACAGAGGGAAAATACCGCCGGTACCGATCTGTGAGTACCCTACAGAACGGACCTGTGGATTCTTCCCTTAGATTCTGTTCTTCTCTCTCGGCACAAGCAACATATATCTTCTCCTTGAACCCCTGTAGACCCTCCGTTTCCAGCGTTTCATCTTCGTCGATGTCGAGCCCCTTCCATACGTCCTCTACAACCTTGACCCATCCCGTGGGTATGTCTACCCCTCTTTTTGTTCTATTGTGGCGAGGTGTGTCGCCAGATTTTACCGGCACTATACCGGGCACCGGCACTATACCGGGCACCGGCACTACTCAGAGCACAGAACGGCTTGGTATTTCAGTGTGCGTGAGCCGAAAACACCGGGACTATTGCGGGTACAGGCACTATAGGGGTCCCCCACTGTATCGAGTGCCCCACGCCGCTTGTTTGCGCTTTTTTCCAACACAAAAGTACTGGAAGATGACAGAAGAGAACAGAAGCGGCGAAGAGAACAAAAGTACCATGAATGAAGTCCAAGTGGTTTGTTTGTCGGAAAGTTTTCAACGAGAAGATGACAACTCCAGAAGCGGCTCCATATTTTTCTCGGCGTTTGAAATCGGCCTTTGTTGTGGGGGTGCACCGTCTCCAATGACTGCGGTATCCGCCAGAACCAATCCATTGCAATTATCTACATAACACGGTCCTCGCGGATGCACGCCGTGCGCGTCGCAATCGCTGCTTGTGCAGGCCAGGATGGAGATGGAGTCCGCGGACACGATCGTGGGCATCAACGCTCCCGTGGACCTGTCGGGAAGGACGCCGCTCGCCTGGAGCGTGAAGGCCGCGCGGCAGAAGCGGAACAAAGAGGTGAGGATAGCTGAGCGATTAGGAGACAAGACAAAGGTGGTTCAGGGAGTGAAAATCAAAGAGCGATACACACACGGCAAGGCGATGTGGCGAATAATGAGCAAACAGCAGCGAACGATACAGCTGGTATGAAATGTCGCGAGTGAACCCGCAAGCATCAAGACACAGCAGAAGCTACAACATCGCGAGTGAAATACGTAGAGCACCATACGGCGAAAATATGTGGAAGCGAATGAACAGCAAACCAGCAACGCACGGCACAGCTGCGTATGTAAATACTGCGAGTGAAAACGTAGCAATTGGCCCGGCCTTTTGAGTCGCGCGCAGCGCCGACTCAGTCGCACTGGTTAAGACGAGCGAAGCGAGCATCTAGCCCGCCGCAGGCGGAAAAAAATTGATTCGTGTAAATGCGTCTCTGGCTCGTCTACGCACGTCTTGTATGCGTCGTGGCACGTCTTGTGCTTATCTAAGCGCGTCTAACATACGTCGTAGCGCGTCTAAGATTGTGTCATAGGGAGATTGTATTGCGTTGTAACGCGTCTATGTATTATATATCTCAGTGCGACAGAATAACGTCTGACAGCATCATCAGTGGTGTTGTGCTTGATGGTTGATGCCGACCAAAATACTTTTGCGTGACCCTCAATTATGCACATTGAGCGCTACGCACACACTGAGACACGCTAACAACTTCCTCCATAATTTTTCGTTTTTTGTTTAGAGGGCAATCGTAGTGATAACGTTGCTGGTGGTGCGCTGTAGCACGTGGTAACTTTCATCTTTGCCAGTCAACAGTCAACAACAGAACATACAACAAACATACGCAGTAGGAAATACTATCTGATGACCATGTACAGCAATACTCTCCGTTGATGGTTCACAGAACCGGCGTTAAACGGCAAATACATACATAGACTAAACCAGCACGCTGTTGTCAGAAGAAAGGCACAGCTCCGCGTTCCCTGTGAAGGTTTAACTTAGTTATGATATGGAGTAAATGTTTTGAACTACGAGATATGAAAATAACGGAGGGCTAAAGACTTTACCCCACTATTTTGTTATTGACCCAGTAGAGAAACAGAGAAAATCGTTGCAAGACCGTAGGTAATAATTCTGAGTACGTACCCGCGGGAATGCCATCAATAAGGCGCACGCACGCCAGTTGCAACGTAGCAAACAACACACAAACACCAATCTGGGCTAACCCTTCGTGGTTTAGTCAGACTCTCAAACGAGCCACGAGAGGTAACTCCACACCCATGCCAATACGCAGTGTGGTCCCGTCCAACGACACAGGGAGGGGTGGAGGGCGTTCCTCCTGCGGATACATCATCATCATGCATGTCATGTGTCGTCGTATTTGTAGAAAAAGTGATACCGCCTCCACCGGCGCGTTGCCGCCAGGGCTGGTGCGGTCGAAATGCCTTCACGTGGCGTGTGGCGTGCGTGAGGGTGTTCGGGTATGTATCGCACATAGATAGATGACATAGTAATGGAATTTTTTACGTGCAAACATGCAAACATCCTTCCTTCCATTTTGGAGGAGGTACTTGTTCGGAGAACGGAAGGGAGAGAGGGTTGGAGAGGGAAGAGATGGAGGACTGGAGGACTGGAGGACGCAAGGCGGAAGGGAGATATCTGTTCTTTCCTGCGTTTCACGTCCTGTGAAGTCGTCGAGGCAGCTCCTTAGCAGTCACTCAGTCGCATCCCCCATTGCGTTAGACGACTGTAAGACGTGCCTAGTCGCCATATTGGGGGTTAGACATGCCGCTCCTGTGGAAGCGGACTTAGACGTTTCCTAAGACACGTCTAACGTAGCAATCAAGACTAGAGGAGTATCTGAAAGAACGGTAGCGTGAGGTGAGAGCGGGCATCACGTTTCACACACATGATGAGACAGGTACGCGAGCGAGGTATGAACCAACCGCAACACATGGTGCAGCCATGCTAGCGAAGGACGGTCGTAGCGTGAGTGATTAGGCTTCACGGGTAACACAGAAACAAGCTAGCGGTGGAAAAGTGTTGCGCGAAGCGCAGAGTAAAAGCGATGTGAGTGGCGAGGTTGGGAGCAAGAATAGGCGGCTAAGGTCACTCCTTTCTCCCTAAGAAGCCTAAGAAGAGGATGAAGGCAACGCCACCACCTCTCAACCTCCCTCAGGCAGAAGGTCACAATATACTCTGTATGACCAATTGTTCACGAAAACCACAACACCAACAACAGCAACCTCCATGAAGAAGGCCAAAATTGACGCCTCATGACGAAAACTAAACCCACCATAACGAAAACAACAACAACCACCACCACTTCTCAGGTCGAAGAACACCTCTACGCCACCGGCGACGCCAGCGTGTGTCCCGCAACGCCGGCCGCGCTGCGCAGCGGGGGGGGTCGCACGGGGACCAAGGGGGCAGGGGGTGGGGGGGTGGGCGGCACGGCAAGGACGGGAGCCGGCCGCGGGGCCGCCGAGAGCATCGGGGACGGGCTCCCCTGCGGGTACTCGGACGCGCCAGGCTGGAGAATAGAGATGGAGGACGCCATCTGCCGGTGCGCTTTTTTGGTTGTCAGAGTGGAGGGAAGTGCTTTTTTGTGCACAGGTTGCGTTAAGATGCCACACTCATTGGGGCCGGTTTTTTATGAAGCTTGGTCACTCTGACGACGCCGAACATGGCGGCATTGGAACCGCCTCTTCGAGGAGCCTGTCGGAAAAGCGTTATCTGTTTGTTGGCATCCTCTTCGTCGTGGGGTGGTCAAGCTTTTCGTATCGATCCAGGGGGTGTTGCGTCTCGTGCAACGTAGGACAACTGTGCTCCCGTGATACCTCTCTAGAAGGATGACGTGTTGAGTATTATTGTCTAGAGAGTGTTTCTGTCGACGATGGGGGTAGGCCGCACCCTCTGTTGTTATTCCGGCTGTTCTAGGCGATTTTTCTACATTCCTCTTCTTTGTCTGGGGGGGGGGGGGGGATTCGTGCGTGTGTGTTTTTCTTTACCGGTAAAAAACAAAGAACGACTGGCCGTTCGAGATACGCGTATCATGTACTGCCCAGTGTTGCGAGGCGTGTGTAGCAGCAGTCTTCATTTATATTCAGTAGTGAGCGTTGAGATAGTCCTGCTGGCTTTTCGTAGTGGGTTTTGAGAGAAAATCTCTCGACTTTTCTCCTTTTGAATCGCGGACGATCAGGCACAACCTAAGTTGTAGTCTTTTGAGCGAGCCTTGAGGAAAACCTCCTGGCCTTTTTTTTGTCGAGAATAGAACCTGCTGACTTTTGCTTTTCTGCTTTTGACGGATCACGGATGACCAGACACAACCCCATCCCGGTGAACGACCCGGAGTCGCGCGAGGCTCCCCCTGCGGACCCCACGAGCATGTTCGGCATCTTCGACGGACACGGCGGCGACTTCACGTCCACGTTCTGCGCGAGAGAGCTCATCGAGTGCCTGCGGGGGACATCCGGATGGAAGTCTGGCGACAGGTGGGAGAGGGGTGGGCGTACTCGTATGTTTTGCATGCCTTAGCGGTTTGACCGTTGACCACGCGTCCTCGAGAGGACGGAGCATTGTTCCCACAGGACCGATCACCGATGGCCAATCGTTCCTTTCTACTTTGCCAACGGTGGCTCAAAAATGTCTTCCCTAGTCTGTCTATCCTAACGATATCCCTCCCCGCCTTTTCAACCCACCTCCTATGCCCCAGTACAGCTACCGTCCTTTCCTCTATTTTCCATGCCTCAAACATCTCCCTGTACGTCCCATCTATTTTTCCCAGCTCAGTCACGTACACTTGTACAACGGACATTCCGCGACTACATGAACACGGTCTTGGCATTCGAAGCCGCAATCACATTTGAACTCGTCGTCTTCGTCGACGTTCTCGAAGGCCTATGTCCGTTCTGAATTTGACCTTGAGCTTTGTTCCTGCATCCATTGGTTCATGTAGGTAATCCTTGAACCCTATTCCTTCCTTCAACATCCCATACACTTATAGACCCTCCTTATCCTTGGATTCTTCCCTTAGATTATGTTCGTCTCTCTCGGCACAAGCAACATATATATTATCCTTGAACCCCTGTAAACCCTCCGTTTCCAGCGTTTCATCTTCGTCGATGTCGA